CAGGTGTCAGACTCTCCAAGCTTACAACCAGGAACAGGAGGAGTTAATTCAGGCTGGCCACGAGGGTGGCGGAGGTTGCGGTCGCGTGCGCTAGCGGGACCGGTACGGCGAGGTCCATCCGCACTCCCGCTGACTCAGGTTTGGCAAGGCGAAGGAGCACAGCAGCCATCGCTGGTAGGGCGAAGCAGCGGGTGAAACCTTCGGTCGACTGCAACAGAAGAGATGGAGCTGGGGGGGGAGCTACAACGACGAGCAGAAGACTGGCTGATGCTTCTGGAGGAAGGATGCAGGAGATTACAGGTGACGGTGGGCGAGCTATCCTTGCGGGGTCGCATGAGGAGCCACAGGACGCAGGGGGGGCGAGCTGTCTGGCTGACTGGGCAAAGAATATGGGCGAAGACGTGCTCGACATCATCTGGGAGCTGGAGGAGGGGCTGGATCCTCTGCTAGAATCCTGCAACGAGTGGACGACGGCACATGGCATGATGTCTATCTGTTATGCCCTCTTCGCTGAGGGCCATGACCTGCGCCAAAAGCTGGATGACCGGCTGGTGGGCGATGATGTCATGGAGGACGAGTTCTCGCACGCGAATGGAGCGCAGGAAGACAAGGCCAACTCCGGCATCAGCACCGACAACAACAACAGCAACAAGATGTGCAACAACAAAAACTATAACAACAAAAGTAACAATGATAACAACAACGACAATGACCACGACATCAGCGCAGTGGTGGGATTTGGGCCAGATAACAACAGCAACAATATGCACAACAACAAAGGCTATAACAACAATGGTAACGATGATAACAACAACGGCGATGACCACCACAGCGCGGGGATTGGGCCAGATAACAATAACACCGACGACGATGGGGATGAAAATAACAACAACTGCAATGTTGGCGGCAGCGGTGACGACGGTGGCAGCGACGACGACGACGGCGGTGGAAGTGGTGATGGCCATGGGAGCAGCAGGGCAGACAGCATCAGAACGATGGGAAAGAAGCCCCAGGCTAATAAGAAGGTTATATGCGGAGTGATGGGCCTGGCGAGATGGGGGTTGGCGAGATGGGGTTTGGCGTTGAAGGAACAATCAGCTGTTTCCCCCCCCCTCCTATTTGCTGTTTCTACATGGTGATTCGTTCTTCTCTGTCTGCCATCGGGTGGGAATTGGATAGACGTCCAACCCCGTTTTCTTTGATTAGAGCTGACCGGCCCTCAATCTCTAATCATGACGGGGTGTCGATCGCCCCCAAGGGATGTAGGTACAGTAGGTTTTCGAGTTAGGCTTTGTTTTGTTTTGTTTGTTTTTCTCCCGGGGATGATTGATGTCGACGGCTTTATAGATACAATAATTCTTTATGGGCACGAGGTCAATCCTTCCCTGTCGCAGGGAAGTAATCAATGCCTCTGCTCATCTTTGGAACATTCGGATCGAGTATATCTCAGATAATGTTCACATGCACCATATCACATACTCGATGGATAAAGATCATACACATTGGTTGTGTGTTTTCATTTGGACAGATACAGATTGTTAGGGTTTCGTGGTTTTGCATAGGGGTCTGGGCCCGATTCCCGGCAGATACATTCACATCATTGTACTGGGATGCTGGACCCGTTTTCCAGCAGATACATTCTCATAATTGTACAGGGACGCTGGAC